ACTCTAGCGCCCTGCATCTCCGTGAAGACTCCTGCAATGGGACTCTCCAGGACGGACGACTGGTCTTCCACTTTAACAATGACGACCAGTTATGTGGAACTGTTCTCAGGGTATATTCCACGTATTTTATAGATACAGCCTTTTGTATGTAATCCTCTCCAACTCACAGCTTTATATGCATAAATGAAAAGCATATTGAATCAAAATGCTTAAATTATTTTGTCGTCTCACTCTCAAAGAGCAACGGGACCCATTTCATCTATGAGAACACCATCCAGGGTGACGTGGACCCCCATGAAGGGCTAATCAGCCGCCAGAAGAGCATCCGCCTGCATTTCTCCTGTGAATACCCTCTGGCCCAGGCCCTGTCCATGGCTGTGGGCATCAATCCTGTAGAAAGGTGATAAACACAAAAATATCTCGCTGACATGGTTCTTATGACTTTTAGGTCACCTGATTGTAACTGGTTGTTAAAGCAATAGCACATAGAATGACAGTGTTAATGAGTGTTGTATCACATTATTTAGCCTTTTAGATAATATATACATATATACTACTTACATTTACTTAAGAACTACTGACAGAGTTGTTCCCTCTCAGGTTTAATCACCCTGTGTATTTTCTTTCTGCAGTATTGTGAACAAGAAGCTTCCATCTGGCCAGGGTCGCTATCATTTGAGGATGATCCCCTACGAGGACGCCGGCTTCCGCTTCCCCCTGACTGGAAACAGGAATGTAGAAATGGAAATAGACAAGAGGTTGTACATCGAGGTGCAGACTGAAGGAGTTGATGAACGGCAGATATCCACTATCCTGGATTCATGCTGGGCAACACCTTTCAATGACGCCAGCTACCCTGTCCGCTGGCATCTCATCACTACAGAGTAAAGGAGTTTGAGCTTGTGTTAGCAAACCCCACTTATTCTGAAAAGGCTACATAGGAAGTAATCCTAAATTGTATTCTTTAATCTCACTTTAGTCATCATCTCTGTCTTCCAGTTGTCCTAATCCAGCAGATGGTACAGTAGAGCTGGTTCAGAACGGTATCTCCACTGTGGCCCGATTCTCATTCAGGATGTTCACCTTTACCAACTTTTCATCCATCTACCTGCACTGCCAGGTCCACCTGTGCCTTCTGAAACACAACAACTGCTCCGCTGTAAGTACTGTGTTTGTGTGTGTGTTTATTGCAAAACTGGCATAACCATCCTGTATACAACCTGACTGATTACTGTAATTTACTCTGGCTAAAAGCTTCAGCAGAAAATTGTGATGTTGTTTCCCGCAGCATTGCTACCCGGGATACCACACAAGAGTCACAAGGGATATTTCCCTTCATGACACTGCAGCCATCTCACTAGGACCATTAATCCTGAAATCAGGTAATTCTTACATTTTTATAACCTCTGTATGCTTGTAGATGACATATTGTACTGCTCAACCAGTGGATTATAAAAATATATTTACTTTGAAAAAAACATTAGAATTTAATGACTATAGTTTAAAGAAGCTCAAACATGTGTTGCTTTACATCAGCACAGTGTTTATCTCTGTGAAAACATACCACTTGTCTTTATTTTACCACTGAGGTTAGATTTTGGTCTTTTCTTGCAGACAGAAGGATGAAAACGAGCAGTGCTTCAGGCCACTTCACCTCCGTGGTGACCCTGCTAGTTAGTTTTCTGGTTTCCAAAACTCTGACCTAGAGAAATCAAAGCACAAAAACAATAAACAGATGAATATATACATATGACACAACCACAATATCAATCAGTCAGCAGTAGCTTAATCACTGTGCGTAGATTTAAAAATGGTCAGTTATTTTTCTCTGTTTTGATCCAATAAAACTTTTAAATGCATCCTATAAATTACACTTATTTTTGTTGGAAGTTGTGGTAGTTTTTCTTTGCAACATTAGAGGGCAGCATATGATCAAAAACACATTTGGCACTGTTTTCATTTCACGTCTGCTGTTCACCTTTTTGTATTTAGTATAATGTTTATTGGTTGTATCTTCCAGGCTTTTGCAATATTTTTTATTATCATTAAATCAATATCTCATTAGTAATCATTCATGATAAATGCATGAACTATAAATCTTACTGATGTATTTTCAACTACAAATGTAGTCTGGGCTGTAGATGAGGACTCCGATGCCAACTGAAATTTTTGTACTTTTTTTCAATAAAAATGGTATTCCCTTAAAGTTTGGTTATTTCTTCAAATACAGATGGATCTAAAAAATACTAATTAAATAAGTATGCTCCACTGCTATCCCAACATGTTCACTACAGGATATGTAAATGCAACAATAACCACAATCCAAAGCATTAACACAGCATGGTTCTTTTTTGGCACGAAAGAAGCTGTCTGTGATACAAGAGGTCAGGTTTCTCCCTTTTGTGCTGAACCTCCTTTGAGTGTAGAGACTGACAGAGCCAATACCTCCTGTGTCTTCACTTTGGGGGTGAAATTCATCATTGTCAGTCAACGTGTCCTCAACAGTATAGGATGAGACCTACAGTAGACATAACAACACTTACCACACACCCACAACATCTAATTTGTCATTGGTGTTATGGTACAGTACAAAGACTTCAAAGAGGGGCAGTGTGTCCAATACCACATGGCACAATACACAGGCCCTGCCTTCCACTCCTAACAATTCAGGTATGTTATGTGCAGATTACTTTACAGATCAAATTTCACATCTGTAGGCTTAATAAAAAAAGAATGTGTGTGTGTGTGTGTTTATAATATTATTAAGCATGGTTAGCTCATATACTCCTTTACCCAAATATATATCTATGTTCATGATGCTCTTTATACCGAAGTCATTGTTTGACCATTCTGTGTCTCTCATGTAATAGCTTAGCTCTTCTGACAGTGTACCATTGGGAGGTTAATCCTGTGGCTTATGTGGCATTTGCTGGCTTTCAAAGTGAATATGTGAACATGAATGAGAGAAAGAAACACAGCCTCAGTCAAGAGAAATAATATATAGTTCCCAATGGAACTGATACCTGCAAGTGATTATTTAGCAGACATCCTTTGTTGAAAGAGAATCTCACAGCAAATCTAATGTCATGCCCAGGCTTTAAAAGAAATCACGTGTTTGATAGGATGACAAGGCAGTTTTAGTGTAAAAGTTAATTACTTTACAGGTATACCCGGATGACTGAAGGGAGATTCAGTTTGAAGGAAACTAGTCTCAGTTTAACTAAGTTATCCTTACTTAAAACATCGCTTTGAAATAACTTAATAAAAAGCAAGATTCTATAAAGAAAGCCCTGGGTCGACCAGGGTGAAGTGAGGTAGTGTTCCTACCACCTTGTTTCATTGATTTCAAGGGGAATCTGACTGAATCCAATCCAGTGGCAGACGTTAAGAATAACCATACAGAAATAGCCAATCTTCTCATTGATGATCTTGTTTGTTTATGTAGGTCATATAGAGGAATTAGTATTAAATTGAGACTGTTATTCTGCAATATTCTTGTACTTAGGCACAGTAGTGTTTTAAGCTTAGTAATATCAGCATACTAATATGCTTGCAGTGTCAATGTAATCCAATGTTCAGCAGGTATAATGTTTACCATGTTCACCATCAGTACTGTGTGATAGCATGCTAACATTTGCTAGTTAGCAACTGACCTGATGATGGCCCTAAATGAAAGGTATTGGGGGAACATTAATTTGTGTACCAGATAAAATGTAACAATTATTGAGACATGTCACTCAGCATCAAAAATGTCGACCTCATGGTGGCAGTAAAGGAAAAGTCAGGACATCAGCAAGTCAGTTAGATCCGTCCTCTGGGAACCATGAATGTCCGTGGAACTGCCAATATATCACACAGATGTTGAGATATTTCACTCGATAATTGAAAGGTCTGACCTCTTGGTGGCGCTGGATGTAAAGTCAGGGATCACCAAAGTCATTAGTATCTCAATAGTTGTTGAAATGTTTGATATTTAAAAGTGGTGGACCCGACTAACATTGCCATCCCTAAACCCAGTGTGGCCAAAAGTACTACAGAGAATAGTAAACAGTAGCTTACCCTGATTATTGTTTTTTCTACCCTAAAAATCAAAGGTATGTATCCTCCTGAAATGCATGTGGCCCTTTAATCCCTCCTGGCTGCCCTCATATCGTTTCATTTATTGTGCCCTTTTTTTAAATTCATCTATCCTGTATCTAATCGAATAAACTAAATGCAGTTCTTGGAACTTCATAGATTTTGTCACACCTTCTTCAACCCACCCACACGTCAAACTTAACAGCATCCATATGTGGCGAGTCATACCTTATTTTTCATTTGTAAACTGCTGTCATGCAACTACTTCATCGTGCTCTCCTTAATGTAGAGTTCCTATAACTGCTTTGATATTAGACGCTTGGAGAAAAATAACAAGCTGATAGACTGCATCAAAATTTCATGAATTTTTTTTGCAACAATATAATATAAATTTAAGTAGCTGTATTGATATATATCTACAGGTGGACACTCTTCCCAAAGTTTTTCTTTGTTTTTGATTTAAATCTCCTCATCTACTTCATCCTTTTTCAACTCAAACCCATCAAACCTTCTTGAATGCTCATCCAGCCACATCTGACCCCAACTGTTTTTAGAAGCAGGGCCATGTCGCAACGAGGGAACTTGTAACCTGATGAGACAGAAGGAGAAGGTGGTGGATGGGGAAGAGAGGGAAATATGAGTGGCAGCTTGTTGACTTTTACAAGATGTTGAGGGCTTAGTGGGCTAAATTGGATTCGCTCAGAGTCCCCTGTGTGGAGTGTTGGAAGGGTCAGGAATGGTCCCATCTAACGTTTGACCTCTCCTATTCCCCTCATACTGCCCATCATGTCAGCACCACTGACCACAATGCACTGCAGCAAAATTACATCTGAACTTGAGTCCATTTAAGATTCTTTCTGAAGAGATGAACAGAACTTGAACAAAAAAAACAAAAAAAACAAATTAAACATTGATTTTATTTCCCAACAAGAATTCTCCTGATATCCCAACAATACACTTCAGGGTTTTAAGGTTATGAGGATGAATGTAGGCTTATGCTGCCACACTGAAGGCATTGTTATTCAGGAATAATGGATGAGGACTACTAACAAAATAATTATTTAACAAGTAAATGTAATCTTTAATCTTTAGCTATGGATTAAAATACCTAAAAAAGGTATTTAATGTTTTACAGAGTTTTGCATATGGTTGAGAGGCCAACAAGTCTACCTTCTTGGTATATATACTGTGAATCTATCAGTCCAGGTTTGACAGCTCTGAAGATATCACAAAATGAAATTACACTTTTCTTAAAGAAAGCAATGATAATAACTGAGTTACATTTTGAACTAGACCTTGTGGACCCATATTACTAAGTAATCCTATGTCCCACCCGTTTTTGCTCTGTGGTCGACAGACAGCGGACCCTCTGTAAACTTTCTCCTTTCCTACTTTGATAAGCTTTGTGTGAGGCTCGTCTATGTTGAAGGCAACCACATTTTTAAGGTGAAAGATAGGAATGGTCAATTATTAAGAGCAGGGAGCTAATCATGGTAATGATGAACTTGGAAATTGCAAGCGGCAACTTCCATGGCTGGCAAATGAAGATGGAAATGAACATGGAAGTAACAAAAACTGTAGTTCCTCAAATGGCCACTTGGGATTGGCAGAAGTCAACACAACAGAAAGAAACATGTTTACAGCAGTTTTGGTCTCGATAGCTAAATTCCACATTCATGGCTGGAACAGGGGTGAATTTGAATTATATTAAGGGGTAAAGTTATGCAGATTTAGGGTAATTGCTGCTTTGAGTGACAGGTGGATGGTGTCAGAGGTGTCCTGTAACCAGGCTTCATTCAGCCCATCTCAGCTCCATGTCCATGCCCATCTTTGGATGGCGAAGGCCAGAGCTTCATAATGGCTCTCCCAAACCTATGGTTGACATTACCCCAATTGGTCAAGGTAGATGGCCACCCACCTAGAGCCA